GAGGTTTAAGAGATAAAAGATCTTTCATGTAGAGCGGGTTTAGATTATTTAAGGACTTAAAAGAAGAGAGCAGTTTAAATTTTACTTTGAATAATACAGATAGCCAGTGTACAATGTAGGTCAATGAGAGCTGGTGTGATGTGGTCAAATTTTATAATCTAGAAAATCACCCTAGTTGCGACATTCTGAAGTTTTTGTATTTAAGTTGATCTTTAGATAGACCAGAAACAAGTGAGTTACAGTGACCATGGTGTTAAGATAAAAAAGCAAAGACCAGCGTCTTTGTCGATTACATGGAGAGGCATTTTCTGATCTGTCTAAGCTTGTAAAGTCCACAAAGGGCATTGCCACGGATCTTACCAATGTGAACAGCCATCTACACATGAACATCAAACCAGACCCAAGGTTGTGGATATTTTCCTGTACCTTAGTGACATAAGCAAAATTATACGACAAAACCTTACGGAATATAAATCACCGCGAGTGAAAGAATGCGAAAGACAATAAGAAAAATGTGCGTGCAAAACCCAAAAAATGAAATTGGGAACGTAAAAAAAAAAAAGAAATCACTAGGTGGGAATGCCGCAGTAACAAAGCAGTGACCCACCCTCAAGATTTCATGTTCCAGATTTGATGAAAACCAAGATTTCTTCATGAGAATTTTTCAACTCTCCTTGTGGACCACAGCTCTAACAACTGATTAAGTAGCAGCTGACAGAGCTCTCCAAAAAACTTGAACCAGAAGGAAAAACCTTTTGGATCAGGATTCAAAGAACTAAAAATTAATTTCTCTAAGCAACAGACGTGCCAACAAAGTCTACACAATTTCTGCAAGTTGTTGGAGCTGATAAATCCTGAAAAAGGTTACCAAAAAAAAAAAAGCCCCAAAGGTTCATCTAGCCAAAATATAACTAGCCTAGATACTAGCATTTCAAAGTCCTACAAAAATAGGTTACGTTGGCTATATCTCTGTTGTGAATTGAATATATACAAATTGATTAAAGTGTGATATATGGAATGGAACTACCTGGACGGAAATGAAGCGTCAACAGCGGGAGATTACATTGATGTTCCAGTTATTGACGTTATTGTAAGTACTGTTACTTTTAATAAGTAAATCCCATAAGTTTACATTGTAAGTAGTTTTCTCTTCTTACATTCTCTATTCTTACTCTTCAATTTAATGATTTTACCATTAGTGATAACTAATGGTAAAAATAACAAAATTTGATGATATTGAGGAAAATCTTTGAAAAGTCAGTGTACACTGATATATACTGAATTGTTGCTGCTTTTGAATTGATGTCTCAGATTGGATTACCGATGTTCTTCTTATGTGTGCGTTCTTCTCATGTGTGGTTTACTTTAAAGCTATTTGCAAAGATTTCGTGCATTGAGCATAGAGAATTCACCCAAGCCCTGCACTGCTTTTTCGGCACGACCATCTTTTAACTGTTCGGCCCGAAACCCTAATTCAAAGATCCTTCTACTTTTTATTCAGCTCTGGTTTTCGGATGAACAGTCGGAGATCGTCCTGTTTGTAAGATTTTGCTGTTGTTTAAAATGTGTTGCTCTGGTGAAAAGACTCGTCTCCTCTTGTTTTTCATAGGGGGCACATGAATATGCTACAAGTGTATAGAGTATTGATCTCCGGCGAGCACGCTTTGTCATAGCGCGATGCGTAGCCCATGTGCGCAATGGAAATTTAAACAGGGTACCCCACAGTACTTGTAATTTACCAACAATGTTTTCTTGGCTTCTCAAAACTAGTAATCGTGTTTCTCATTTCTGTATTTTTCATTACATAAAAGGTAACATAAAAAACAAATGACTGTCTGCTGTCTTGGAATGTTTAATGATCAATTTATTTTAATCCAACTTGTCCTTTTCAAAACCTCTAATGGCTTGAATTAGAAATCCCCCAGCTTCCTCGCTGGCCTTGTCCTGAATTTGTCTGTTTAGACTCTTTAATAAAGAAATCATAATTTTCTTGTTCAGAATGCTCTTGTTATTTAAGTAGTAAGGCTCCGAATTCTTTGGATTGGTTTGTAGAACTTTAAAGAGGTTTAGGATTGTTAACCTGTCCACGAAATGGTATCGTGAAGTCTTTTCGTTGGAGAAGATAGTTTTGTCGACAATGAGCTGCTCGCTGAGTTAGCATTGCTTAAACCTTAAGCTACCAGAACATCATCCCCTCCTGCTCAATTAGAGTTCGGCAAAGGAACAACGACAGATACTGATACGAGATAGAGAAGAAATGGAAAAAGTCTTTTACTTCGCTCTTTTTCTGGATAGAGTATGTAAACTATCTCGACCTCAAATTGCTACAAATCAGAAGTGGAAATGACATGGTCCGCATACATTCCGTAGGGAACTTCAACTCGGTTAGCCAAAGACACTTGCATCGATGCTATCTGTTTAAGACAGGGGAAAAAATTATATAGCGCGTTCATTTAATCAACGATAAATACCAGCCACTATATGAAATCAAGTCCAAAATATAAATTATGTAGATGAATCGGATCGCGTAGTGCCGTGACGCTGCTACATAGTAAGCGTGTTAATGCGTTACCTCGTTGAGAAACTTTGAAGAACATAGAGAAAACAGACGAAAATGTTACATGGTCCTGAAAAACTGGTCTGCTTAGGTAATTAAAGGTAAATTAGTCTACGTTTTAAACTGATACATGAACATTTCATATAGCTTTAGCCTTTGTACTTTTCAAAGAAGCTCTCCAAAAAGATTGATTACAAAAGATACACGTTTACTGGTGAAGTTAGAAGTAAACTCTCTCCGTAAGCCCGCAAAGATATGAATGTATCACTTCAAGCGATTAAATTCTGAGTATTTGTCTAAACCACTTGCCGTGTGCCTCATAGCTGCAGCCTTTTATCCCCCGTTAGCAATTCAACTAATTGCTTTGGGAAAAGGAAGCTTATGGACACACCACATCTTATTCACTGTTAGCATTTAGTAGTAACAGTGAGATGGGGTAGACACGAGTCTTCCTTAGAGACACTGTTTTCCAAACATTATGTCGAGATAGTCATTGATCTGACCCCATGCGATAACCATGCGCCAAAATGTCGGAAAAATAGAACAGCTGTGTTTCACCGAATGTGCCCATTGAATAAACATTTAAAATTCAACAACTTGACTGGAAAACCCTTATAAGACATGAAGAATAGTGAGCTTATGGTTCTGAATAAAAAATTATCAATCATGCCAAAAGAAATATAAGGCAAATGAAAAAAGGGAAAAGTTAAATTTTAGGAATTTAGGAATATAATCCTGACTATTACTTGATTTTCAGCAACGACGTGAAAAGACAACTTGTTTAAGTTTTCAAATGCCGCTTCTTAGATAGTTTAAACTTTAAAAAGATAAATGAAATTCATTCAAAATCTATTCATTTGACTGTAAAGCTTCATATAAGAAAACCAGCCACTCGAGGTAGATTTGGCAAGGATGTAAAAAATTACCTTTTCGATTTAGTGTTTTTTTTTTTAATTTTTAATTTTTTTTTTATTCCGCAGATGTCTTAAAAGTTTCTTTTTAAAAAAGAAATATCTTAGTTGTTTATCTCCAAATAGGACCGAGCATCATTCGATTGTATTTTTGAGGTGAGTAAGACTTTTCATACACTCACTATGCTTGTATTTACGACAACCAAGGACAACTAAGATCTAAAGAGGAGAACGGGATCCGTATCTGCCTGACTGAATATAGACTGCTAAGCTTAAAGAGCTCGTCCTTCGGCCCAAATTTCTCAGTTACTAATCGAAGGCGATGAGTGAAGACCAGGGTAAAGTCAGAATTATGTAATATCCACGAAATCATTCAAAACCAGAAGTATCGGCATCCGAATTGGTGGCACTGGATATTTAGCACCCTATTTTGTTTTTGAGGTGCAGTTGGTAATTGATTTTCTTAACTTAAACAGTGGAGAAATAACCGTAATGTTATCTTTTCAATTAAAAAAATGTAGTTATAGCGTATTCTTAACGACTGGGTTTAAGCAAAGCCATTAATATATGAGAGTACGTCAAAGGGAATCAACTTTGAAAAAGATTATTCATTTGAATTTCAAAGTATCTATTTAACTTGTGAGAAAATTAAATTGAAACGTAAACCAGTTTGGTTAAAGAAAAGTGAGCCAGCGTTTAGCAAACAAAGACAAATAATTTACCCTTTCCCGATATACTGCTCGCGAAACCACAGTTTGTAACATATTCGAAGCCGTATTGATATATTATTTTTGCAAGTTATTCAGATTTCTTGTTTCTTGACTTGGAACGTGGTTCTAAGAATGAAACCTGTTTTTTTTTTAACAACAAAAATTGGGTTGCGTCTTTAGTTGGTATCGATAATAAAGTATAAAGACGACCAAAGAAAGCCGAGAGAAAGTTTGAGGAAAAACGAAAACGACATTATCATGGTTAGTTCCAACTAATCTGTTTTCTTAGGTCTGCGAAAGAGCGGATGGAAATGACGTCAAGGTATCTTTTGCAGATACACAAAAACAGAAAGGATCCCTCAAAGTCAGAATAAGCTTATAGCAATACACTCTTAGTGCTTTTCGTGACCTGCCCATGGAATCAAACATTTTGTTCTCGTTCCAACTCTATTGTGATTCTATTCTGAGCAGGAGATAAATGTCTTGCCAATTCATTGCACCATCGGATCATCTTCCAGTCAAGCACAACGAGAGAGCTTTACGGAAAGGGGAATTCGCTTCGTTCACTTCCAAATCGAACTTCTCAATGCGTTTATTATCAAGAAAATTTTAACTCTGTTTAAAATCTGGTAGATCATATTAGATTTGAATTGCTTTTTTGCTGAGACATAACTTACGCCGTGACGCTACCACACGCTTTGTCTCTAAAATGTCTTGCTGCGATGAGACGATTTTAAAAGCTGCTTCTCCAAAGTCGTGCAGTGGTGTGGTTACATATAAAAGTGTAAAAGTATCGTAGGGTTTTAGGAAGTAAATTAAAACTTCATACAGTTGTGGACCTGAACATTCTTGCCTAATCAAGCCCACTGGAAAAAGAAAGGTTGTGAAGGTAAGGATTCTTAAGAATAACAGACGTCAAGAATCAAGAGGAATTTGTCAATTCATTCTGCATTTATCCGCCTAAGTGGATATCGATCGGTGAGTTTAAGCTCAACATTAATATTAAATGTTACTATGAGATCATTGAATAGGAAATGATATATCCTCCTCAGCCAGTTATTATTCGTTGCTTCAAGACTGGGCGAAGGTGGAAATGAAAATTGAGAGTTGTACCAGGAATTACACTTCATTTGGAAATATAGCTTTACCATCTGTTAAAAAAAGTATCTTTGTAGACACGTGGAAAGAGTTACCCAACGAAATGAAAAATGAAAAATTCAAGGGGGCTTTTCAAGAAAAATGAGAATCTCTCACCTGTAAGGGGATTTATAGGTATATATATATATAGGAGTGTAAACGATGTAGGCCAACCAACGATGATTCCACCGAGAAAAGGATCCAAAGGATACAGGATGCTTCCTTCTTAAATGACGATAAGTAGAATAAACAGAAGAAGAAGCGGACCAACCTCTTCTGGCCTTTAATACGTGTACGTTTCGCCCATTCGGGCTTCCTCAGCACTAAATATCAATGTGGAGTAAAATTTACAAGCAATGCAAAAGTCTTAAATGCGTGGAATAAAAATGTTTTACATCAAATCCCATAAGAATGAAATAATGATAACGATATATAAAATTACACGCTAAAATATGACAATAAAATAATGAAATCCGGTAATGAGGTGTTGTTAATTATGCCGAATTCTTTTCCAAGAATTGACCTCACACCTTTTACTGAGACCATGTGGTTTGAGGGTACATAGTTAGGCACACCAAATCGCCTCTCTAGTAAGCAGACGATAATCCATGCTATTATTACTAGCATTAGAGTTACGTAACTGTTCGATAATTAAAAATTTGAAATCTGGTAAAATATGAGATTCTTTGTTGTAATGAATAGCAACTTCACAAGTCCGTTTTTTGGTGGTCATGGAAGACTTGTCGTTGCGAAAACGAATCTTAAATTCATTACTTGTAGAGCCTACATATTGAACATTGCATTGATGCACCTAACTAAGTAGATTACATTTTTGGATTTGCAGCAAACTGTCTGCATGATAGGATACTTCCTGCCTGTGCTAGTGCTAGTGAAACAATTCGATTCCTTCAAATAATTTTGATTGCAGTGCTCGATACATAGAAGTAGAGCGCAGTTTGCGTGAGCGGTCACGAAACAGGCTTGTAGGGATTTCAATTAAACAAATTCTGTATGCGAGGCAAACGCTGACCCTGTACACCCCAAATAATCATACTTAAATAGCATAAATGTTTGAAAAGAAAATTTTCCCTGGGCCTGTATCCGTACTTGGATCCTCCTTTGTCATCCGCTAAGTTGACTTCGGTCATGTATCTTTAATAGATCCTTAGTTGGGTTTCATATGGGGTTATAGGCTTCCCCTACCCTGTCACCTTGAAAATTAAGTTTTCCGGGAGACCATGTCTCCGATCACGTAAATCACATCTTCGATTGCCGTGTTGCCAGCATGGTTGTCCTGATAGTGTAGTGGTCATCACACCCGACCAATAACAGGAGGACGTGGGTTCAAATCCCGCTCAGGGAGAATTTTCTTTTCAAACATTTGTTCTATTTATATATTGAGCACTCTGGCATGGCTTAGACGATACCACAAAGGTTGGGTCGTTTGGGGTGACCGTCTCGGTTCTCCCCCATCCTAGCATTAGCACTGCACTGATGAGGCCCAGAAGGCCGAAACAGTACTGTCTGCAGTTAGTTATATATATA